GTAGGATGAGGGCAGAGCAGCTGGCCGGGACGGCAGAGGTAATGGACGACCGTCTGCCGGCCCTGGCCTACTCTTTCTGCTGCTCGTGTGCCTCTTGCTGGTGGAAGGTAGCACTTGCACGAGCGACCTAGCGGGTGTCACGTTTAATTTTTGGTGATTTTATGATCAGTAAGGTCCCAAATGTTGCGTGTTCTGCAAGCCGACCACTAGTAGGAGAAGTTCCACCTGACTCACACCTCATTTGAGCACTCACTCTTCACTGCTTCACTTCAGCACAAAGTAACCAATGTGCACACAGTCCTTGCCGGTAGTGAGGACGAATTAGGAGGCTTGGGCCAGGATGTGGAACCTTGCATCATGTACAGAACGTAGTTTTAGAAGCTTGTGGGCGACAGCAGCTGACTAACGATAGGAAAAAAGAAAAGAAAAAAGAACTTCGAAGTTGCAGGTTCTAACCACTGGCGGGCTGCAAACCTGCTAGTGCGTATTACTGTTAAATGCACTAACATAGAAAGAACGCTTTGATGTTATGTTCAGGATAATGCTATATGAGTGATAATAAGAACTAATTAAAATTATGGAAAATGAAAAAAAAAGAAGATAATTCTATTTATCAAATAATAGGAATGACAATTACAGCACAGGCAATGCCGATGATAACAATCGCAACGGTACTTAAGATGAGATCGGTTTCAAAAGAACTGTTGGCAATGATACTCGCAACAATGGCATTTGTACTAGTTCAGTGGTCCTTAATCTTTGACTATCGCGCCTCCTCTCGGAATTTGCCATTCCCTCCACGCGCCCCTGACGTCGGTGGTTAAAATTCCCTCCCGAACTGTAAAGAAAAAGTAAACTATGATCTTAGTCTCTTTATTGTGTCACATTATTATGAAACTTATCCTTAGGTGAGCATGCCCAAAAATAAATGTAATTTGACAAATTCTTGCTATTTCCCAAGAGCTAGCGCCCCCACGTTAAGAACCACTGTACTAGTTATAATGACAGTGATCATAACACTGGCAAGACTAATAATGATGGCAAACTAATTAACAGCCCGGGATAAAAGGATAATGTTGGCTGAGAAACGTTCCATGACAATATTTATGCAAATTATGATATCAGTAATAAAAACAATAATGATAATGATCATAATAATACTAATAGTAATTAGTACAATTATAACAACAATAATGATGGTATAAGTAGTAGTATTTTTCATTTTTTAAAATTATTTATTGATAGTAGTAATGGTATCCTCAATATAATCATGGGTATTATTACTTTTGTTTTTATTATTATCATTACTAGTTATTATTATCACTGTTATTATTACTATTATTTTTATTATTACCATTTTTATATTATCATTATTAGTATTATCATTATCATAATCATTATCATTTTATTAGTATTATCATTATCATTGCATCAGTATTACTATCATTATTATTTCATTAGTATTATCATTATTAGTGCCAATATTATTATTAGTAGTAGTATTACTGTTGTTGTTATTATTATTATTATTATCATTATTGTTGTTGTTGTTGTTGTTGTTGCTGTTGTTATCATCATCGTCACTATTACTATTATTATTATTATTATTATTATTATTATTATTATTATTATTATTATTATTATTATTATTATTGCTACTATTATGGTTATTATTGCCATTGTCATTATCGTTCTCATTATTTTATAATGATGATAATGATAACACTACTAATGGTGATAATAGTGATAATGATGATTTCAACAATGACAGTAATAAAGATAATGATAATGATGATGATGATGATGATGATAGTAATAATAATAATAATAATAATAATAATAATAATAATAATAATAATAATAATAATGACTATAACAATAATAATAATGACAGTAATGATAGTAATAATAATAGTTATAATAATAACAATAATTATGGTAAAAATGATAATGATAATGAAAATAATAACAACGATAATAAAATGATAATTATAATGATAATGATATTGATATGATCATTATAGTAATGAAAATGATATTGATGATAACAAAAATGAAAACTATGATAATAATAGTAATAATAATTATCAGTATCATTATGATGACAATAATTATTATAATAAGGATAACAATAGTAATAGTAAATAGTAAATAGTAATTACAGTGATGAAAATTATGAAAATATTCATAATGATGATACTAATGATAATGATAATAATGATAAAGATATTAATAATAATAATGATAATAATAATGATAAAGATATTATTATTATTAATAATAATAATGCTAATAATAATAATAATAATAATAATAATAATAATAATAATAATAATAATAATGATAATAATAATAATAATGATAATAATAATAATAATAATAATATTAATAATAATAATAATAATAATGATAACAGTGAAATAATAAAAAGATATGTAACTATGGAAATGATAGTAACATTGATAATATGGATAAAAATGGTGCTGATAATAATGATGACGATGGTTATGATTATGATCATGACGATAGCAGTATGATAACAATAATGATAATGATGATGAAAAGTATAATGATAATGATAATAACAACAATGATAATAAAAATTATACTAGTTATTATAATTTATTATAATTAACAATAATGATAAAGATAAGTCCCATTGATGACAATTATAATAGTGATAATAGATAATAGTGATAACAATAACGCTGATAGTAATAATGACCATCATAATGATAATGATAATGATGATGGTAATGATAATGATTATGGTAGTGATAATAGTAATAATAACAACAGTAATAGTAATAATGGTGATAATAATGATACTGATTATAATACTAATAGTGATTATATTTATAATACCAATATCAGTACCATTAACAAACATAAATAACGATAATGGTAGATAATCTCATCCTGTACTGTTATTGTCATTATTACTATTATCAATATCATTATCATTGTTATCATTATCATTCTTTCTCATCATCATCTTCTTCATTATTATCTGTATTGTCTTTTTCTCCTTCGTATTAATGTTGTTATTGTTATTATTATTACTTTTGTTATTACTATTATTATTGTTATTATTATTATTATTAGTAGTAGTAGTAGTAGTAGTAGTAGTAGTAGGAGTAGTAGTAGTAGTATCATTATTATTACTATTATTATTATTATTATTATTATTATTATTATTATTATTATTATTATTATTATTATTATTATTATTATCATTATTATTATTATCATTAGTATCGTTGCTATTATCATTATCATTATCATTTTCATTATTGTCAGTAGGAGTAGTAATGTTTATTATTTTTACTCTATTTCTAATTTCCATTATCATTATTAAGAATTTTATCATTATCACTTTTTATTATCATTACTATTATTGTTATTACTATCGTTATTATTTTTTTCATTATTATCATTATTATTATTGATATAATTAATATTATCATCATTGTTATCATTATCGTTATTATTGGTATTGTTATTATTATTTTTTTCTATTTTTTTTTATTACTATCGTCATTATCATTATCATTATCATCATCATCATCATCATCATCATCATCATCATCATCATCATCATCATCATCATCTTCATCATCATTATCATTATCACTACTATTATTATGAACATGATAAATGATTATAATAACGATGATCATTATTATTGTTATTGTATTTATTATAATCTTTACTATGACCATCATCTTTTCCCTTACTGTTGTTATTTTTTTTTATAACAATAAGAATATTAATGTTTGGATAACAATAATAATAACAATAATAATGATGATAATAATAATAACAATAATAATGATGATAATAATAATAAAAATAATAATGATGATAATAATAATAAAAATATTAGTAATAATAATAATAATAATAATAATAATAATAATAATAATGATAGTATTAATAATAATAATAGTAATAATAATAATAATAATAATAATAATAATAATAATAATAATAATAGTAATAATAATGATAATAATATTAATTCCTATCATTAGTATTAACATTATTATTATTATTATTGTTATTATGCTATTCCTATCAATGGTGATATTGTCAGAAACATTGTTATTATTTTCATTATTAACTTTGTCATCGTTGTTATTATTATTGTTGTTGTTGATGTCATTATTAGCAGTAGTAGTGGTAGTACCATTCTTAATACTATTACTTTTATTATAATAATTATTATTATTGTTGCTGTTATTACTTGTTATTATTATTATTATCATTATTGTTATTATTATTATTATTATTATTATTATTATTATTATTATTACCATTATCATTATTTATATTATTCATAATATCATTATCATTAGTAGTAGTATTACTGTTATTGATGCTATTATTATTATATTACTTATTATTAGATTCATTATTATATATAATTTGTCATTGTTATAATTATTATATCTATAATTATTAGTGCTATTATTATTACTATTATTATTAGCATTATAATAATAATCACTGATATTATCCTTATAAAATGATAATGATAATAATAATAATATTATTAATTATTATTATCATCATTGTTGTTATTATCCTTATCATTATTATTATTATTATTATTATTATTATTATTATTATTATTATTATTATTATTATTATTATTATTATTATTATTATCATTATTGTTATTATTATCATTATTATTATTATTATTATTATTATTATTATTATTATTATTATTATTATTATTATTATTATTATTATTATTATTATCATTATTATCATTATCATTATTATTATTATTATTATATTTGCTTTAATCTTATTTTTATTATTATCATAGTTATTTCTACTACTATTACTGTTATCATTATTATTGTCTTTATTGTTACTATTATCATTGTTATTATTATTATTATTATTATTATTATTATTATTATTATTATTATTATTATTATCATCATTATCATTATTATTGTTGTTTTTGTTTTCACTTTTTCTGTTAT